ATGTTTCTGCTCAGATAGTCTCTTGGATGGAAATGAGATGGGAGAGAGGGGGTTCAAAGCAGAATTGGGGGAACAAGGGCTTTGCTCTCCCTGTTCCAAGACTTGGATGCCGACACCACTGGGAATACTATTGCGCTCCAGATACGGATCTTTACCCAGGATTGGTTCCTTACTTGGCAAATGCTTATTGGCCCCTACTTCACCACACTGTGGTTCGTAAGATTTGCATAAAAGCAACAAGGATCTTCTAAACTTCTGTGTACGTAACTGACGTATCCAAAACGCAAAGCGTAAGTTTTTGTTTTTTTTTAAATAAATGAAACCTTAACAGTCCTTCTGAGACAGAGGGACTACTTTAAAAAATGTGTTCCAAGGGGGAACTTTGGGCCTCCCCTTTCTGAAGCAAAGAAGAGTGAAGGTAATCAAAGATGCGTGGCACCAATTAGTCCCAAGTACCAATGGACCACAAAAACTCCAACCTCAATGACCCTGAGACCAGAAGAACTAGATGGTGCCCAGCTACTATGGCTGAGTGCTCTGAAAGGGATCACAATAGAAGATCCTAGTTAGAGTGGGAGAAAAATGTGGAACAAAACTCAAAATCATAAAAAAGACAAGGCTTACTGGTCTGACACACTTGTGGAGTGTCTGAGACTATGGCTTTTAGCCACCCTTCAGGCCTGGAACTGAACTCACCCTCATAGGTCAACTTTCAGTCAAACAACAGACAGGCCAATAAGGTGAACACCACCACCAAGGAGTGTGCTCTCCTAGAACACCCAATCACATGAGATCAATAGGGCAGCTTTTGTGCAGGGATAAAGCTCAGGTGTCCTTAGTGTGCCTGACCCAAGCCATGGTATTTTTAATGGCCTCAGATGCATTCAGAAGCTGGACAATGAATAAAGAAGATTGAAGAAGAATCAATGCATTTGAATTACAGTGTTTGGTTGCGGTGTAGTAAATTACTTAGTGTGGCTTTTCTACCCATAAGCCTTTGTAAACTCCAAGGTGGGATTTTGTATGAGCAACTGAGCAGCCCCTGATTGCTGAAGCTATCCACCTGGGTTATTTCTGTTGGGAGTGGCACAATACAATGTTCTGGGAGGTGCCCACTCTCTCTCACGTGCTTAGAGTTCTGATGCTGTGATTGGCTAGTTTGACCACCCTTCCGGGCTCAAAAGGAGACCTCTTGGAGGCAGAACTCTCTCTGAATGCTGGAGGAAGATGTGCTGCTGAAAGAGACATGCACCCCGGAAAGAGACACGTGCTGCTGGGAAAGAGACTGTGAGAGACTGTTGGCTGAGGGACGGTGGGCTGGGAGAGAGACTGAGCATTCTTCCTGACTTTGAGTTGTAGCCTGGTGCTTCCCTAATAAACCCCATAATCTGTGAGTTCTGTGTGGCCACTGCAGTGAATTATCAAACCCAGGAGAGAGGTGGTGGGTGCTTTGGGGGGAATGGTTGGTGAAAGGGCTGGAGGGAGGCAGCATGTCTGGCCTTGCAGGAATAGGCCTTGGGTTACTGCTGGTAATCCTGTCTTCCTCTGGCACGGTTACAGGAGGTCAGAACATGTGGCCTCCTTGCCGTTTTTGCATTGGTAAAGAATCTTAAATACATCAATATACCACGGACTGCCAGAAGAGCAAACCAATCTGTCTTAGATGAAGTACAGCCGGAACGTTTCTTGGAAGTGAGGACAGCAAGACTCTGCCTCTCACGCTTTGGTCTTCTTGTCGGAAAGGACCAGTCTCTGGAGAAGGATCTCACGTTTGGTAAAGGAGATGGTCAGGGAGAAAGGGGAAGACCCTCAACAAGATGGACTGACACAGAGGCTGCAGCAATGGACTCAAATGTGGCAATGACTTTGAGGATGGCACAGGACCGGGCAGTGTTTCATGCTATTGTACCGAGAGTCACTACGAGTCAGAGGCGACTCGATGTACCTGTAACAGCAATAAAACTCAGAAGGTAGGGAAGGACAGGAAGAAGGATGACAGGAAACAGTAAACGTGGGGAGGGAGTGGGAAGGGTGCTGTTGCATTGCGGGGATTGCAATCCATGTCACAAAACAAAATGGGCTGAACGGAAAATCTATCTGCTCTGCAAACTTTCATCCAAGTTTACAATAAAAAATTCAAAATAATATGCTAACTGAGAACATTCTTTAAATGCACTAGGATGATTTTATTAAAAGGAAACTTAAGGTTTAAAGATTTTTCTCAGGGCAATAGCTTCATGGTTCTTAAAGCCTTAATGGCTCCAAAAAGTCTGGATTCCATGAAAAGAATTTTTCTAGAGAATCTTTGATCAAAACATTGAGTAATGGTAGCCAGGAACCATTCAATTCTTATGGTCTCAGGGCAAAGAAGATACCTGTCCATGGAGGCAAATAGCCACATACTCCATTTCCTCCTCCTATTCCCACCTCTCCTTCTTCCTCCACTGCCCCAGGCAAATGCAAATAGAGACCAATTAATTGTCTAGCTTAATTAGTAAAGAAAGAACATTGTGCTCCCTTAAAGAACTATCTATATGGGATCAAACTGACAACAGCAATTCAAAAAATTAGACAGGAAGGTTTAGGAAGCAGTTAGTTTATGTTAATGGGTGTGGTGGAGTGAATTACTTAGTTTGGTTCCTCTAGCCATGGTCTTCAGGACTCTCATCAGATGACCAGGTGGGACTATGCAAACGTCCCATGCCTGTGGCCCACCAAGGGGATTGGATAGCTTGCTGATAATGTACATAAGGTACCTGGCACTCTGCTGGGGGTGGGACCATGCAAATAATGCGTATGGGACCCTGACATGGGGGTTAGTCAGTTTCACCATTCCACTTAAGACAAGCCATCCTGGAAGTGATCTCACTGCCATGAAGAAGAGCCAGGAGTGTTGAACACGTTCCTTGGACCCGAGATCCCTGAGGTAAGACAACAGCAGACAGACAGCAGCAGCAGAGGCAGCAGACAGAACCAGGACAGCAGCATGAGACGGAGCAGTGGGCTTTCTGGCCCACGGAGTGAGAAAGCTGAGTGCCCTCAGCCATACATAAGGTGGGCAGGTGGTATTTCTTCGTATGTATTTGTATGTGCTGTAGGAATGTCCAGATGTATAACAGAGCCAACAAGGGGCAAAGTTATAATAACTTCTTAGCCATAGCCAACCACTCTGAAAGACTGAGTAGTTGGACCCGTGGGCTCAGGACCATGGTCACAAGGGACATCAAGATCAACTGGTATAACATACTACATAAGAACATTGTCCTATATCCTACTTCGGTGAGTAGCAACTGGGGTCTTAAGAGCTTGCTATTGGCCATCTAGATGCAACAATGGGTCTCTCCTCATTGAGAGCAAAGAAGAATGAAGAAAAGCAAAGACACATGAAAACAATTAGTCCAAGGGGACTAGTGGACCATGTGATCCTCAGCCTATATGACCCTGAGACCAGAAGAACTAGATGGTGCCTGGCTACCATAATCAACCACTTGGAAGGGGATCAGTGCAGGATATCCTGGATAGAGTGGGAGAAAAATGTGGAACAAAACTCAAAATCATAAAAATGACCAGGCTTACTGGTTTGAAAGAGCCTGGTGAGAGCTCTGAGACTATGGCCCCTAGTTACCCTTCAGGTCTGGAATTGCACTCCTGTGGCTTCCAGCCAAACAACAGACAGGCACAAAGGGTGAACATTTACATCAGGTAGATACACTTCTTAGAATGATCAATCATGGGAGAACAGAAGGGCAGCATTTGCACAGGGAGACAGCTTGTTGTTGTTGTTGTTGTTGTTAAGTGCCGTCGAGTCGGCCCCGACTCATAGCGACCCCTCCTTGGGTTTCCGAGGCAGTATCACTACGGAAGTAGGATTGCCCAACCTTCCTTCCGAGGAGTGGCTGGTGGGTTTGAACCGCCAGCCTTCTGGTTAGCAGTCAAGTGCCTTAGGCACTATGCTACCAGAGCTCCTTAGGGGGCAGGAATGCACAGGAAAGAAGGACACAGGGAGGAAGTGAGAGAGTTGTTACATTGTAGGGACTGCAGTCAATGTCATGAAACAAAATGTGTATGAATTGCTGTATGGAAAATGACTGGGCAACTTGGTTGAGGGACACACCTCTGGAAAGTGTGTCAAGAGCCTGAGCTGGGACGTGAAGATTCATGGCCTTGAAATAAATAACCCACACCATGCTAGTGGAGTGGGGCTACCTCTCTGGGCACCTATGGGCAGAGCGAGAAGAGCCTGATTACGGTTGTTCAAGCAGAGCTCAGGCCAGGCTGAGGGGCTGAGGGCCAAAGAGAGGCCGTTCCCGTGGGCACAGCTGAGAAGCAGCTGTCCTGATTGAAGAACTGTACCCTGAGTTGTTTCTGATCCTGAACTGCAAACTGTTACTCCCCAAATAAACCCGATAACCGTGAACATTGCCTGTGACCTCTTTGTGGCCAATGCAACGAATCACTGAGCCCAGCAGAGAAGCAGAGAGCACCGTGGGAGAGACAGTGGGAGAGACAGAGATCGTTGATGTCAGAAATCAGTAGAAAGGTCAGAGGGCGGCGGAGGCATGCCTGACCTCCTCACAGGAATCAGCTTTGGGCTACTGAAGCTCATGGTGACTCTCCCTGTCAGGGAATGAGATGAAGCCACGCCCCTATGCCCTTTTTGCAACCAAGAAGCATTCCATCCCATTAGGCACAGAGTCCATGAGTCAGAGCTACTCACTGGTAGCCAATAACCGAGAACTGGGGAGACACAAGCCAGGAGCCGCCCCTCCCCAGCCCAGGGGAGGGAGGGAGCATCGAGCACTTCAGTAAGCGTGCTTCTCCATTATTTATGTGTGAGGTCATTCCATCTGCGTACCAGCTTGAATTATTCAGGGTGGCTAGGAAGGGTTTCTGGGGAGCATCGGATGTGGACGCATCCAGTGGAGTATCCGCCCCAGGAGAGTCCTTTCCTCCCCACCCCACAGGCCAAACGCTTCCCACAGGCTCATCACTCCTCCTACCTCAATGGGCTGCCACTCGCCCAGAACAAACACATGCAGCATGTTCACATCTGGGTCCTTGTGGAAGATGTTGGGCTTGGCGTGATGCTGGAAGTGGCGATGGTTCCACCAGTTGGCTGAGGCACCCTGTCGGGGGACGGACAGGAGGTGAGCAGTGTATTCGGCCAGGGACCTGAGCCCACCTGCGACAAGTGGCGGCCTCGGGACTGGTTCTAGCACCTCCAACACTCAGGGCTGACTGTGTCATGAAGCACGGTGCCTCGGGTCCCTGAAGTCAGAATGCAGCCCTGACAGCAGAGTGTGGAGCAGCGGGCCAGCCCCTAGGGCCTGGACTACAGAATGGATTCAAGTCACTCCGTGTGTCTAGGCCTCAGATTCCTCAATGGTAAAACAGTGATGATGAGTAAGGAATGCTGTGCTGGACCCCATGGTTGAGCAGGTCAGCAGGGGTTGGGGTGGTCCTTGCCTCTCAACATGATCCGGGCAGTTTCTTCCAGGCCCACTCACCCACTGTGTGTCTCCTATGACAGGAAGAAGTGGTCCCTCCCATATGACCAGCAATTCTACTCCTAGGCATATATCTGAGATGTGAAAATATATCCACACGAACACTTGTACATGAATGTTCATTGCAGCACTAGTCACATTAGCCATACAGTGCAGTCAGTTGCTAACTAACTATGGTCCTCTAGCCTTCAGCCTCCATTTTGTGATAGATTGTAAATCCTAGTCTCTATGGCTGTTTAGGGCTCGGAAGGAAGGTTGGGCAATCCTACTTCCGTAGTGATACTGCCTCGGAAACCAAGGAGGGGTCACTATGAGTCGGGGCCGACTCGACGGCACATAACAACAACAACAACATGGCTGTTTAGGGAGCTCTGGTAGCGTAGTACCTACGGCATTTGACTGCTAACCAGAAGGCTGGCGTTCAAACCCACCAGCCACTCCTTGGAAGGAAGGTTGGGCAATCTACTTCCATAGTGATAGGCCTCTGCCTTAGCAATCCAAGGAGGGGTCGCTATGAGTCACAGCACATAACAACAACAACAAAAAATGGCTGTTTAGGGTAGGATATATCTCGCGTCCTGCCTTGCTGGAGGGCATGACAGACATTAGCCTTAGCTTCCTTGGAGTATATATGTGAATATTCCAGGAAAGTTTTCTCTCTGGAGATTTTCTTCTGAAAAATCAGTCATTGAAAACTGTGCAACTCTGTTCCACTCTGACACACGAGGGGTCACTATGAGTCAGATCAGCTCAGAGGCAACTGGTGTTGAGACAAGAAGCATGATGTGGGTTATTTATTTCAAGGCCGTGAGTCTTCCCGTCCCAGCTCAGCTCTTGACACATTTTCCAAAGGCGTGTCCCTCAACCAAGTTGCCCAGTGATGCATGAAAGAAAACAGACTTTTCTGATCTTTTAGCCTCAAGACTAGCCAGTGACCTGTGGCTGGAACAATGCTTTGGCTAAGGGCCCAGCTGTTGACAAAACCGCCCATTTGCTAAAACAAGCATCAACTTGGGAGATGCTTTTGGCACAGGCAGGGTGTCTGAAGAGCTGCCTCTGGCCGAGCACAGCCACAGGGAGGAACAGCTGTGGCCTTTGCGATGACCTCAGGCCCTCGGAGCAGGCGGGTCTCAAAACCCATCAGAGCAAAAATAGGTCAGAGAGTGAAAGCTTAGAGGACTGGGCAGTCAGAAGACATGGTCAAGTTTCTGGTCTAAAGGAAAAACTTCCTGGGAAGAACCAGACCGGAAGTCTGTGGCACAAAGAGACTGAGGGATGAGGCAAGTTACAAATAAACGTGACATTTAAAAAGTACCAACCACAGATGCTGGATGAATAAGCAGAGGAAACAAAACAGGGCATGAAGACCATATGCAACGGGGTGAGGGTCATGAGGTGAGAGTTAAAATTCCCTGTTCTCGGGAAACATTTTTTGTCTAGGCTGTTGTTTGCCAGGTCCCTGGTGGCACATGTGCACTTGCCTACCAATCCAGAGGCTGGCCGTTCAAACTCACCCAGCAGCTGCCTGGAAGAAAGGTCTAGCCACCTGCTTCCGTAAAGGTTATGTTTGTCTTGCGCCATCACGTTGATTCTGACTCACAGCCACCCACATGTTATAGTAGAACTCCAGGTTTTTTTTTTTTTGGCTGTAGATCACCAGGCCTATTCTTCCTCAGTGCCACCGGGTGGGTTTGAACCTATAACCTTAGCATTACCAGATGCGTGCAAACTGTTCACACAGGGACCCTGGAAGACGCTGTGAAGCCCAGTTCTACTTTGTAACACACGGAGCTTGCCACACACTGGCAAATGGCACAGAATCTTCTGCCCCGATTCCCTCCTATTCTTCATCAGGCAAACCCCTGCTTTTCCTTCAAGAACTGCTCCTTCCTGGGTGCCTTGCCATCCAGGAACAATGACCAGCCCTCCGCATTCCCAGAATGCTGTGCTGCTGCTGCTGCTCAGGGCCAGCCATTGTGCTGGGCCCTGGGACGAAGTGGTGAATCAAGACACAGAGCCCTTGCCCTCAGGGAGCTTCCCGCTAGTGAGGGTGAGTCCGGCATCACACCACGCTGAGATGGGGCTGGACGGAGAGAGAAAGAGGGAGGTGACGGAATTGGAGAAGCAGGAGGTGGCCAGAGAATGTGGGGTGCTTTCCCAACTGGGAGAGGAAAGGGCAGGAGAGTATGGCCTGTTCCAGAAACCAGACAAACGCCCTGTGGCAAGCCAGAGATTTGGGCAGGGCCGAGCAAGTATGTCGGAGCCTAAAGCAAAAGGACAAAGGGTCTACCCCTGGCTTTTATGGAAGCAAACTCACCAAGAATTTTTTTGCTCACCTTTTTTCAAAGTGAGAGAACTGCCATGTTTGACAACTTCTCTTCACCAAGCGATGATCTTAAATAATTTTTAATGAACTTAAGTAGAATTATAATAAATTCTCTTTTAGTGTAAATAAAATAAAGTAACAGGGTGACTTTTAAATTTTAAATATTTCTCAACTACTTTAACATTCTGGGAAAAAAAAATAACAAAACCACAAACACTAAACTCACTGCCATTGAGTTGATTTGACTCACAGTGACCCCTCCTTGGGTTTCGGAGGTGGTATCTCTACGGAAGTAGATTGCCCAACTTTCCTTCTGAGGAGTGGCTGGTGGGTTTGTACCACCAGCCTTCTGATTAGCAGTCAACATTAGTTAAGTCAAGTGCCTTAGGCACTACGCTACCAGAGCTCCAGGTGTATACATTGCTATTGTTGTTGTTATGTGCCATCGAGTCAGCCCTGACTCATAGCAACCCCTCCTTGGGTTTCCGAGGCAGTATCACTACGGAAGTAGGATTGCCCAACCTTCCTTCCAAGGAGTGACTGGTGGGTTTGAACCGCCGGCCTTCTGGTTAGCAGTCAAGTGCCTTAGCCACTATGCTACCAGAGGTGTATACATTAGTGGTCTGTAAATCAGGGTCAGTCCATAATGTTCTACAATCATATTCTAACTTTATTACTAATTTTCATATTTACAAATTTGGGTCTATGGCTGGTGGGTTTGATCCGTCAGCCTTCTAGTTAGCAGTCAAATGCCTTAGGTGCTACGCCACCAGAGCTCAGCAACCATTTAAAAAAAAAAGCATAAATCTAAACCACCAAACCCCCTGTGTGGCGTCAATTCCAACTCATAGCGACCCTGTACGACAGAGCAGAACTGCCCCATAGGGTTTTCCAAGGCTGTAAATCTTTACAGAAGCAAACTGCCTCATCTTTCTCCTGCAGAGCAGCTGCTGGGTTTGAACTGCCGACCGCTTGGTTAGCAGCTGCACCACCAGAGCTCCCTGAGTTCTTGTTAGTGACGGTGAAATCATTTGGCAAATAATAGTAAGAATGAAAGCACAATTTGTAGGATGTAACCAATGCTGCTGAGTCACACATGTAGTAATTGTGTTGGTGGATGTTTTATTGTGTAATTTTCACCACAATTAAAAAACAAAACCATGATTTGGCTTGATGACTGAGGTTTCTGGTATCCCCTGCAACTCTGCGCCCAGACACAAGGCTGGTGAACAGCAGGCGCATCTCCATGTCCAGATGCCGAGTCTAGAGGGCACGGGCCTCGTGTTCGGCATTTACGTGGACTGCCCAATGGCTCAAGGGTTTTACGTGGGCTGTGACTGCTGAGAACAGATTTCGTAAAGATAACCCTCCGGAACAAATGTCCACAAGAAGAGGCAGGGCCTGAAGGGACGGGGAAGTTGGGAAAATGCACACGTGGAACCCTTCCACGGAGCAGGCTGATGGCGAGAAGCACTGTGCAGGCACCCTGCTCACACCCGAAGCGGCTTGTGAGAACATCTGAGTCTGTGGGGTGCTCAGGGACCTCCCTGCACCCAGTCCCTTTGCTCCCAGAGAAGGGGACAGAGGCACAGACAGACTACAAGGCTAGTTCACGGCTGCGTGACAGTGAAGTGGGCAAGCTGTACTCCTCTGGGGAGCCATGCCATGCCACTGGCTGGACTCAGTGACCAACACCAAGGGCACAGCCTGCAGGGGCTGGCGAGCCCTGAATGGGACCCACATCCCTGACCTCACCTAGCCCCTGAGCCCAAGTACTCTGTTTCCCATCATTCCTGAGTTCCCAAGCAGACCTTCTACGTGGAGGTCAGTCCTTTACCTCTGTCTTCCTGATGATGGAAGAGCTATGCTCCAGGGCCCTTTGGGGATGGAGGGCCACCGGGCAGGAAAGGCCCTCCCCGGCCCAGCCCAGGATCTGGGAGCCGGACACAGCCCATCTTTGTTAAGTGTGGGGGATAACATGGGTCGGGAGTAAAATGTTACTTTCTGATACTGAAGAGGGTTTCATTCAACAGAAAGGAGCCTCAAATGAAACAAAGCGTTCCACTATGCGGCACCCTCTGGAAATCTGGAAAGGAACCAGGTTCTCAGACTCCTTCAGGCTCCAGGCTCCAGGCCAGGGAACTGCTTGCTGGGGAGCTGGTGACTCAGGGGTGGTTCACCCCCACCCAGAGACAGAGCAGGAAACTGGAGGAGCAAGAGAACCCGTACTTCAAGGGGGACACTTGGCTCTTCCCAAGCCAGGTTAGCAAGGACCAGGAGTCTGTTATTGTCAGCTGCCGATGCATCCATTCCAACTCGCCAGGCCCTCAGAGTGCAGAGCAGAACTGCTCCACGGGGTTTTCAACGCTGGAATCTCTCGGAAGCAGATTTCCAGGCCTGTCTTCCAAGATGCCTCTGGGTGGTTCAAACTGCCAACCTTTCGGCCTGCAGTAGAGCACCTAACTCTCTGCACCACCCAGGGACGCCTAGGGAAGTCTTTGCTGCTGTTCTATGGCAACGAGTTGGCTCCGACTCCAGCAGCTTTATGTGCAACAGAAGGAAGCCTTGCCCTGTCCCACTCCACCGTTGTTGCTGAGCTATTCAGTACCCAGCTTTTCTCGGGAAGCAGCTAGATGCCTTTAGGGGTAGGGCTGGGGTAGGAAATGGAGAGAGGCAAAGACTTATTTCCAAAACACCTATCAGATCAGCACAAGGTCATTGACAAGTTCAGCTTGCCTTTCGACAGACTTCTGTGGGTCTGCCCCTTCAATGTTAGACAGCTGTGGTCAACTGGCTCAGGTGATGATTATACTGTCGGATGTCTCTGTTCCGTAAGGACTTATGTATTAACAGTGTTTACTCTTCAGGCCCCACATACCCAAAAGATATTTAAGACAGCTTGTAGTAAAGGCTCTCCTGCTCTGGTGGCATAGCGCCTAAGGCCCCTGACTGCTAACCAGAAGGCTGGCGGTTCAAACCCACCAGCCACTCCTCGGAAGGAAGACTGGGCAATCTACTTCTGTAGCGATATTGCCTCGGAAACCCAAGGAGGGGTCGCTCTGAGTTGGATCCAACTCGACGGCAGTGAGTTTGGTTTTTTTGGTTTGTGGCAAAGGACTCATGGAACAGGATGACTGAAATAAAGACAAAAGCTTGAATGGTAAGGATAGGAGGGGAGGGGAAGTGCACTCAAAGGAAAAAGGAGGAACCAACCAATCAACCAAATGCTGCCGGGTCCATTCTGATTCACAGCGAGCCCATGTGTTTCTGAGAACTGTGCACAGGGCTTTTTCAATGGATGCAACCTCTGGAAGCTGATCACCAGGCCCTTCTGCTGAGGTGCCTATGGGCAGATCTGAACCACCAACCTTTTGCTCGGTAGCTGAGTTCTTAACTGTGCCACCCAAGTAAAGAGCTCATATGGACTAATGACAAGCGCATCAATGCATCGAGAGAAATCGCTCTTTTCAAAACAGAGATCCCTCTTTTACTGGCCTAAAGCTAAAAGGGATTTCTCAGCTAAGTCCTTAGATTACTGCTGATGTCGTTAGATGCTGTCAAGTTGGTGACCCCGTGTACAGCGAGGCGAAACACTGCTCAGTGCTGTGCGATGCCTGTGATCAGCTGTGGCCTGGACCGTTGTGATCCACGAGGTGTTCAGAAATGGACCACCAGGCCTTTCTTCCTGGTACATCTGAGTCTGGAAGCTCTGCTGAAATCTGTTCAGCATCACAGCACCACACAAGCCTCCACTGACTACACAGGAGGTGCCCTGGCTGGGGCTCGAACCTGGGTCTCCTGCAGGGAAGACGAGAGTTCTACCACTGAACCACCAACACTCCCTTTCAGTCCTTACATTGTTGCTGTTATTATGTGCCATCAAGTCAGACCCGACTCATAGCGACCCCTCCTTGGGTTGCCAAGGCAGTATCACTACGGAAGTAGATTGCCCAACCTTCCTTCCAAGGAGTGGCTAGTGGGTTTGAACCGCCAGCCTTCTGGTTAGCAGTCAAGTGCCTTAGGCACTATGCTACCAGAGCTCCTGAGTCCTTAGATAAGGGGCATCAAATAATATAACCATCAACTGAGCCAACACAGAAGAGGCAGGTGTCCGTTTTTACAACTAGTGAGGCCAAGCTGCCATTGTACACAGTGGTCCCATAGGTCTGCCTTGTCACCGAGATTCAGAGAAATGGAGGAGTGGGTGCCCTTAGCACGGTCCACCTAGTAGAATGCAGCTCTCTAGGCACCCTGGCCTTGCTCCCCTGCAGTGTCGGGGTGCTGGCCTGAGAGGGATCCTTGTCTCAGAACAAGGTGAGATGGCGCTGCACTAACCTCCATTGGGCAGGAAGCCCTGGGCTACTGATGCTCACCTTCAAGTGGCCAATGATGAACTTGTGGACAATGTGATTCCACCTGGACTTCTTGTAGACAGAGAGGTGGCCATAGTCATGCTGCAGCCATCCAGCTTGAGCCTGGGGAGAGAAGGCCACAGAGCCTATCACAGACTCCGCCAATGTGCACCAGGGCCCTTCCTGCAGGATGGCAGGGAGGAGTGCGTGGGCTCCGAGCCACAGGTGAGGGTGTCACGTCTCACCTGAGAGGTAGCAAGGACAAAGGCCGTGACGAGTGTCGGAATCCAGCCGTTGCCGAAGTAGAAGATGACGAACCATGCGATGCTCTCCATGACGACGATGTGGGCCAGGTGCAGCAGGAAGAACAGGTGGTTGGTCTGGAACAGCTTCATGTCCTCGGCTGTCTTCCTCAGGGCCCGGAAGTCCTCAGTGATCTGAGACTGTTCAAGGAAGGGAGTCAGCCAGCCAGCCACCGCCCAGTGACCACGGCACCACCAACAGCTGCCATCTGCCTCGTGTCTGCCGTGTGCCTTGTACAGAGCTAGTTCAGCTGTCTCTCTAGCTCTGGCTACTCCTCCAGGTCTCCAGAGGGTTGAGGGAGACACACATAGTCCAGGATGAAGTCCCTGCCCCCAGAAAGCACAAAAGAAGGGCAGGAGACTTGGTGGCTGCTGGGCACGTGGGCCAGGGAGAGGCCAGCCACGAACGCCTCTGGAGAAACGATGGCCTCATTGGGAAGCTGGGCAGGCGGGGCAGGGCAGGAAGGAAAGCAGAGGCCAAGGGACTAAAGGAATGCCCTGGGACACGACAGAGGGGCCTGGAAAGGGCAGTTCTGGTGGTGCATGGGTAGGGAAGACAGATCGGGGAGACTGGGTGATGGGCAGTGAAGAAGCTTGAAGTTCCCATGAGCAGGAAACGGGATAGGAGTCAGGGAAGCAAGGTCAGGAAGAAGGAAGCCTGGAAGGGCGCTGGGAAGGTCAAAGGGGGTGGAAGGTGGTGCCGTGTGGGGAGAAGGTGGGATGGGACCTGGAGCTCAGTTTGAGCAAGAGGTGAAGGCAAAGGCTCAAGGAGGGGCAGATTCATAGCGGTCCGGAGCAGAAAGCGGCCCCTGGAACATGTGTGTGATGGCCTCGATCTCCTTGGGAAGACCATGGAAATGGTGAGGCCATAGGACAAGATGGAGAAGCCATCTGGCTCCACAGAAACCCTCAAGTGAAGAGGTTGGGATGAATCACTCCAAAGTGGGGGTCAGCAAGTGGAGGAGGACTTGCTGGGAACAGAGTCTGGTCTCCCTGAGAAACATCTCCATCCTGGATGGGACTCAGAGGTAGAAGCTCTGAAAGGGCTCATGGGCTTGGAGGGCGCTCGCTGCTCCAAAGCCAGCCAGCAAAGGGAGCTAGCTGCCAGCTGGCCCCGAGGCAGGCGTGGCCTCCAGGGAGATGGGTGGAGTCAGGCTGCATCACGTCTCTGCCTGGGTGACTGTGGTGGTTATGATTATGTGCCAGCTCAGCTGGGCCTGGTATCGCATGGCTGGATGTGGTGATTCCCCATAATGAGACTGGGAATCAACTCCATGAAGAGAGACGGGAAGGGACAGCAAAGGGGACTTGACCGTGCAGCCCCATTGTGGACATGGATGAGGTCTTCTCAGCACTATTTCATTTAACGAAAGAGCCCTCTGAGGACACAGGTGTTGCAATTTTGACTCACTGTTGCCTGACACATCCTAGACCAATGGCTAAGTGATGGTTATTCCTTCTCAGAGACCCTCCCTGGCCACTTCCTCAGGGGGCCCCTCTTCCCCACCAAGCACATCATTATTTACTGCCCTCTTGTAGGCTTCTGCATTATCCTTCTCCTAGACTATCCTGCCCCAGACCAGAAAGGAAAAAGGAGGGGGAAAATACAGTTCCCAGCCCAGCTCCCAGTGTGTTGAGAAGTGGCCCTCCTTTGAGGCTGGCACAAAGGCCCTCCTGTCTCTGCCCCAGGCACCCCACCCCCCGTCACCCTCCCGACTCACGTTCTTGCCACGGTCCTGGCTGGGCTCTTCTGGGGCCAACTCCCCGATCAGCAGGGGCTTCATGAACTTGCGCACAAAATCGAGGTTGGGGTGGAAGGCGCGGAAGGCGTCCTGGGGAGTGAAGGGGCAGGCGGTGAGGTGGGACTCCATCTCTGCTTGCTCCTCCACACCCCCCAAGACATCAAACAGGGCATCCCATCCCTCGATCCAGCCCCAAATGCCCAAACCAGCCTCCTCCCTGGCAGGCCCCTCAGTGGCCACCTGCAGCCACACAGACACCTGGGTCTTTGCCCCGATGTGGGCACGGTGAACTCACCAAAGGTTTGGGCATAGAAATATGACTGCCTATGGGAGCAAGGATATCTCCTTGAGGACTAAGGTGCACCTGACACAAGCCATGATATTTCCAATCGCCTAGTATGCATGTGAGAGCTGGACAATGAATAAGGAAGACCGAAGAAGAGTTGATGCTTTTGAGTTGTGGTGCTCGTGAAGAATGCTGAAAGTACCATGGACTGCTAAAAGAACTAACAGATCTGTCCTGGAGGAAGTGCAGCCAGAATGCTCCTTGGAGGCAAGAATGGCCAGACTTCGTCTCACCTATTTTGGTCATGTTGTCAGAAGGGACCATTCCCTGGAGAAGGATGTCATGCTTGGTAGGGTGGAGGGTCGACCAAAGAGGGGGAGGCCTTCAACGAGATGGATTGACACGGTGGCTGCGATGATGGGCTCAACTATAACAGGGATTGTGGGGCTGGCGCGGGATCGGGCAGTGTTTCATTCTGCTGTGCATGGGGTCGCTATGAGTCGGAAACGACTCGACGGCACTTAACAACAACAATGGGCAAGTTGGGAGAAGCCCAGGGTGACACACCACGTGGGCACAGGGTGGGAGACCAGTGCAGGGAGGGCTCGCACCACTGCAGCTTCTGAGCTGGGTGTCCTATCAGGCCGTGAACACACCACCCACCACAGAACAGCAGCTCCACACCCACATCATATATGATGACCAAGGACAAGACTAACCCCTCACAGACAATGTGAAACAAGAGGAAACAGCAACTCCCAAAACTCTCCTCGGAGGCCACCCTTTAGCAAAGACATTTGTGACATTGGCTCATTAAATAAAGAACATCACCCGTGAGTGCTGCGTTGTTTTGGAAAATCATCTATGAGACCAAATGGCCAGCGATTACTCTGAAGCAAAGATAAGACGGTAAGGAGGCAGGGAACCCAGGTGGCTGGAAAAGGAACTGCTAGGATGGAGTTAACGATAATGTTGACCCACTGAGAAAAATGTAACCAACAGAATAATTTATGTAGAAAACGCTAACGGGAACCAAATGGCTGTGAGAGCTTTCACTGAAAACATGATGAAGTATTATTTTTAAAAGAATGACAAAACAGATACAAAAGTGTGTAAGAGGCGTTTCTGAAAACAGCCTGGGAGACTCTCAACTATTATCATGTGTTCAGGGATTGGGGTTACACCTTATTTTGTTTGCATTACTTTCCAAACTTTCTCTGACAGTGCTGTTGTGCTTTCAAAATTCAAACAAATATTTTGCGTTTGAGTCTCCCCTCTGATTACAAATTATTAAGATACATATTTGACAAAGTAATGCATGAAAAATAAAGAAGAAAATACTAATATTTTCTTCCAGAATTTCCCTATATGTATTGTGGGTATTAGATCACGATTACTCACAAATACAGAATCCCTAATAAAGAAACTAAGCTTTGGTGGTGCAGTGACTACGGCATTTGGCTGCTAATCAGAAGGTTGGCGGTTCAACCCACCAGCCACTCTGCGGAAGGAAGATGAGGCAATCTACTTCGGTAAAGATTTACCACCTCAGAAAAACCAATGGGGGTCTCTATGAGTCGGAATCAATTCAATGGCAGTGAGCTTTGTTTTTGTTTTTGATAGAGAAAGATGGAATGCCCCTTGGAAGTGAGAATGGCCAGACATCGTCTCACCTCCTTTGGTCATGCGGTCAGAAGGGACCATTCCTGGAGAAGGACATCATGCTGGGTAAAGTGGAGGGTCAATGAAAAGGGAAAGACCCTCAACAAGATTCATTGACACAGTGGCTGCAATGATGGGCTCAAGTATAGCAAGGATTGTGAGGCTGGTGCATGACCGGGCAGTGTTTTGAACTGTTGTACATGGGGTCGCTATGAGTTGGAGCCAACTTGATGGCACTTAATGAGAGAGAAACAAGCTGGTCCCAGCATCCCTGTCTGCACCCTAATTATCGTTTATCTTAAAATATATACGAGATGAGTTGCATCTGCTTGGCTACAGTTTCCTTTCTGGTCTGGCAATTTCTTCGGCGGATTGCCCGTGTTGTGTCATATTCTGGTTTAACGCTTATTCAACAACCAAACTGTTTCTGATCTCCTCTACCTTTGAGGAGAGGTCTCCTGAGTTGGAAGCAGATTTTATTTTTAATTAATTTCCGCGACACCTTTCAGGAGACTCAGAGGTCCCCAGGGCTCCCAAACTTCTGACCTGATGAGTCCCACTACTCTCTCGGATTCAGTAATTTGCTGGGATGACTCACAGAACTCATGAAAAGCCCTATACTTACGACTGCAGTTTTCTTAGGGCAGAAAGAATATAAATGAAGAGGCGTGTAGGGCGAGGTCTGGGAGGGTTTCCAGCACAAAACTTCCACGTCCCAAAATGGGAGGCACTCCCCTTCCATAGGCATTTATCTTTCACCAACCAGGAAGCCCACAGAACATTCATGTCCCGAACCTTTACTAAACAAACAAACTTACTGCCATCGAGTCAATTCCAACTCATAGCGACCCCCTTTGGGTTTCCGAGGCAGCAAATCTTTACAGAAGTAGATTGCCCAGTCTTCCTTCTGTGGAGTGGCTGGTGGGTTTGAACTGCCAACCTTCTATCTAGCTGTCAAATGCCCTAGGCGCTATGCCACCAGAGCTCCTGAACCTTTATGGGGGCCTCATTATAGAGGCAAGAAGCCCTGGCAGCATCGTGGTGAAGCACTGAAAAGAGTCCCCGGATTCAAATAGGTTCAACAGAGACACTTTTATTAAGCCTTGAACAGGACAAAAACACAATCATCCGGAATGAGGGCAACCATCAGCATGGACACAGTACGGAAAGTGGAATCGAGTCTGCTGAGCCATGGCCATGCAGCTAATTCTACGATTGAAGTAAAAACAGGGAATCATCACAAAATCATGATTGGTGGCAGATCGATTCATCACTGTTGTAGGCGGGACTACAGAAACAGGGAAAAGATCCTGATTGGGAAATGAAGATGGAAAAGGGTTACAGGATTGGTTCTGGGCCTTGACTCCCTGGCCAGGTGGTGGCCGGGATAGGCTGTGAGTCTTGACCACGCAGCCTGAGTCTCAGCCACAAAGTGGTCACCACACAATACCAACACCGCAACCTTAATTTAAGGCAGTTGACTGCTAACCAGAAGGTTGGCAGTTCAAACCCCCCAGCCAGTCCGAGGAAAGACATCTAGGCAATTGACTTCCATAAAGATTTACCTCCTCAGGTGCTATGAGTCAGAATCCACTCCAGGACAGTAAATTTGGTTTGGTAACCTTAATTTAAATTAGAAAAGGACACACTCAGGCAAGTTCCTAGCTCTTTGTGGGGGTGTAATCTGCTTTCAACTACATTCTTCCTGAAGGCAAACTGCCCCTCCCAAGGTTTGTCCTGGAACTTGTCTGTGCACAGCCCCGGGCTGATTTAATGCTCAGAAAGAATCCAAAGGGCGCCTGAAACTGATGTCAAGCCTCAAAATGGGAGTTAGGGTTCCCACTGTAGACCATAGCCTTCCCACAACCCACGTGCTTCAGAGTTTAAGCTCTAATACAGCACTTGGCTGCTAACAGAAAAGTCAGTGGTTCGAATCCACCAGCCACTCTGTGAGAGAAAAATACAGTCTGCTTTCATAAAGACAACAGCCCTGGAAACCCTATGGGGCAGTTCTATTCGGTCCTACAGGGCCACGATGAGTAGCAACTGACTCAACAGCAATGGGTTTCCTTTGGGTTGTTATTAGAGTTATCACTGATTGAATACTCAACTCCTGAGGTCAGCTGATAGCATCAGGTGGGTCCTTCTGGTCTGGCCAGCCCCCATCCGAGAGAGTCACCTCATTCACATAACCTGTTAAGTCAGGTGTAGTCTGAAACCCTCCTCAAAGACTGTCCAATTATTGGGAAAGTTACATGATCCTGGAGGTTATCTTTCAGGAATCTGGGACAAAAACGAGATTCTTTAGGTAGAATTAATCCCCACCAGTTACCATCAAACCAACACCAAGTCATGGCCACCCCGTGTGTCAGAGCAGAACTGTGCTCCGTGGGATTTTCGGTGGCTGCGTTTTCAGAAGTAAATCACCAGGGCTTTCTCCCGGGGCACCTTTGGGCGGCCTTGAACCCCTGGCCTTTCAGTTACCAGCCAAGCGCATTAACCGCCCCACACGGAGGCACCATGTTCATCCCAGATTGCATCATGATGCATTTGAAAATGGTTCAGCGGGGAAAAAAAATGCATATACATAAAGAGGAAAGGAAATCTGACCAAACATTAAGGTTAGTGAACCTAGGTTGGAAATAGAGACGTTCATTTATTCTTTCAACTTTCCTATATGCTTGGTAGATTTAAAAAAGAGGGAGAAAACGTAGACAATGCATAAAAATCTTTCTCCTCCCACCAAAGTTATCTCCCGACAGTAATTTCCAGCCCTCTCCCGTCCCCACACCACATCCCTGGCTTCCAGTCCGTTTGCCTGGTCTTTGTTCTATTTGTGTCTAGAACAGACTTACAAAGCAACACTGTGCAGACAATAACTGGACCCAGGGTTTATTTTTTTTAATAAAAAGTCTGCTCCCCTAGCTCAGCCAAAAGGGACAGGAATCCTGGGTAGCACAAACAGTTAAGCACTCAACTACCAGCCAAAAAACTGGGAGTTCAAACCCACCCTGAAGCGGCTTGGAAAACAGGCCTGGTCATCTGCTTCTGAAAGACCACAGAAAACCCTATGGGGCAGTTCAACTCAGCACACGTGGGGTCAGAATCAACCGGACGGTGACCACCAGCAGGGCTCAGAGCG